CCTCTGCTAGCACACGACTCACGTGTATTGCAAATACAAAGTGTCTAAATCTTATTTAAAAAGAAAATCAATATTTCGCTAATGCAAGATTTACATATATATTATTTCACAAAACTCNTGATCATTTACTTCCCGTATCATTCTTGGTCAATAAGCCTGCCGATGATTAAAATTTTCACAAATAAAAAAACATTGAAACGCAATGTGTGCTACATTATAGCAGATTTGCTATACCATATACACACTACAATGAAATTATGGTCAAACTTTATTAACTGGATAAGCGATAAAACTGCAAGACTAGTCCGTCTGGCTGGATTTTAACATATCAAATGTACAAGTAAATGCGAGAGTACCCTATATCTCTTTAAAGTACAAAAACTAAATCCAGACGATGGCTATCGCTTATCCAGCATTCAGTTTAACTAATTTTAATAAACAAATAAAATTAAATAAACATCATACCTTGATACATCCGAGGCCAAAGGAAACTTGTAGAGGGAGCTTACTTCTGCACATCTGCATACACATCTTTTCGGCATTTTTTCTACAAATACGTACATATGTATGTAAATACACAATAATTAAAAAAGTGAACGCAATAATAAATTTATATATTGTACTTACTTGTTGGTTGTTTGTTGTTTGGCCAGAAACTTCCAAATCTCCACGAGGCCGATATTTGTAAAACCTCTGCTAGCACACGACTCACGTGTATTGCAAATACAAAGTGTCTAAATCTTATTTAAAAAGAAAATCAATATTTCGCTAATGCAAGATTTACATATATATTATTTCACAAAACTCAATATTTTACGAAAACAACGAAAATTTTCCGGAAAAAACACTATGCGCGCACAAATTTGCCTAATTATTTGATATTCAGCTACATCCCAGAGTTGCATTTGCTGCTTCTGTTAACATTTTATGAAGTGTTCCAAAATTCGCTCCGAGCGCGTTCACTGTTGATCTATTGATTTAAATAGTTGTTTGTCAAGCATTTATTACTTTAGTTTGATCGGAGTTAAAATATTCTTCAGTAATAAATCATATTATATCAAAACATAAGCTTATAATAGGTGAGAAATTATTTACTCTTAATATGCATAATATTTTACACCATGTACCAAAACTGGCCCTAAGCGCGTTCACTATTGAAGTTTTAATTTGAATATTGTTTGTCAAGCATTCAGTAGTGAAGTTTGATAAGAATTTATATATTCTTCAGTAATTAATCATCCTACATTACGTATAATATGGGAGAAAGTTAGAAATTATTTAGTCTTAATAAGCATA